GGTATGCCATATACAGGATGAACTGGCGAATAGCTATGCGTGATCGATAGAGAGCATGTCACATCATTCTCTCATCATACTCATTCGGTTATAACAAGGCAACGAACCAATTGAAACATCGGAGAAATACAGCAGTAAAATCATTTAAATATCTCGTATATCTGCGTTAATTTAGAAAAAAAGAAAAAGAAAATACTAACAGGTCAACATCATCATAATTCAAATTCAAACTCAATCAAACTAGGACAAACCATGAATGAAAGAAAGATTTACACGGAGACTCTTGAACAAGTGCAAGGAGAATAAGACGAGGTGTTCCAGAAGAGTAAGCGTTTTCTGCTTCTTCGCCATGTAAACCTTGCTGAATCCAAGTAAGAGACATCTAAAGATTTTGATATTCTTAAGCTCTGGTTGATTAAAAATCATTTCTTGTCATCAAATGTTTGTTTGACATGACGTGTGTATTGGCTGTTCGTTACTACCTACAATATAGATATATCTTTTATTGTTACGATAACCTAGATAGACCAAGACGACTATCAGAATAAAAAATGATTTGACGATTCAAGTCGTTCTTGGGGAACTGATATCACAGACATATATGCGAGAAATATACTAAAATGTATTAACAAGCATCCGACAATCGCTCCTTAATCATCAGGAATAGTTAAATATATAGAAATGCATTAAGTACATGGTTTGTACTCGGGGCAAGATATAGCTTGAGGCAAATCTTTGTTTGTTAAATGTTGTAAGGTGTGGTGATAGATGGATCCGAATTAATAACTACGATTGACAAGCCGCTCCGACATTGTTTGAGACCTATTCACTTTCCTGTCTTCCATGTCTTCTGCAATTCGCTAATGTTTCCAGGTCATGACATTTCTGTGTGCTAGCCCTATAGACAAGTCGTAAGAGCCTCCTCATTAATGAACATCGTTTTGTATAACCCTGGGTTACGCGAGTACACGTGTATTAAACCCGACGACTTTGTTGTGTATGCAATGTTTATCGTCTTTGTGACCTTTATGGTAGCATTTAATCCCGATCAAAACGCAACACGCAACCATTAAGAAACCATTAAATGATTAAATATTTATTACTTGTGAAGAAAATTCAACTACTCAGGATTTATAGCAAAGGTCTCCAATTACTTTGTCAGTTCATGGATCAAACTTATACATAATAGATTACTTAATGTTACCCATTTGTTTTTTGTTTACAGCTTCTCAAATAAAAACAAAAAAGCTCAAAAAGTAGACACTCTTTTATGCCAATTTGTGAATTCTCTATTAAAGGCAATTTGTAAAGTAAGGTAATATTGTTTTCAGCAGTTTTGAAATTTTTAATTTGGAAGTTATTATTTGCTTGCATTTAAATGTAAATTCAATTATTCTTCGAAATAGTCTTTGAACCACAAAGAAAATTATGAAGGAATTTTAATAGGATATGACTCGGAGTTTCTAGAACAATGAGATTGGACATTGGCAAAAAAAGAATGAGTGACAAAATATGTCACAAAATAATATTGCCAACATGTAAACATAATCAAAACTCAAATTCAATTGAACAAGGGCAAACTGTGAACAACAGAAAGATCTACACCAAGGCTCCTGAAGAGGTACAAGGAGAATAAGACCAGATTTTCTGTAAGACGAAACCTATCTTGTGAATCTTAGTCAATCCAAGTAAGTAATGTCATACCATGTTCCCAAATAAGAACACGGTGTACAACAATGGAAACAAAAGGCGAACAAACCTAAGTTTATACATCTGTCATAGCTTCAAGTTACATCGTGCAGAGGTTTCGTCCTTCCAAAGTTCATCATTGCAACGTTAAGATAATATGTATAAAAGACACTTTGCAGTTAATTTTTTTTTCGGATATTATTGATAACCCATTAGGCGTATGACGACTTTGATGCCTGAAATACAGAATTCTGGGACGATATATACTACGGTTATATCTTCTCAATAACTTAGTCATAACTTTTTATAAAAAGCAGTTTCCGAATGTCTGTAGGGTAACATAGACGCAGAAATTACCGATACGTCGAAAGAATCTTGATTAAAACCCAACCTTGATTAAATTAACTCAAAATATGGACAAATGAAAGGTTTACTCAGAGATTCCTACAAAAAAATTCTACTGGAGAAAAAAACCCAGATATTCCTATAGGGCAGCCGCCTTCGGTTCTTTAATAGCAAACGCCATGTTAATCTTGGTCAATCCCATTTAGTCATGTCACGTTCTCAAACGAGGATAAGGTTTACAACAACGGAACCGCCAACAAACATGTCCTAATTAGGTTTCAAGTATATTTGTACCGCAGGAATATAGAACACAATCCAACGTATGTTCACGTTTTCTTGGAATCTATTTCATATTTGAAAATTTTATTGTTCATTTATGATATTTCTAAATGTTTCCGCAGTCTAAGGATTTCTTCGTCTCTACTTACACCAAATTCTTAGTGAGTTGAAAACATTCATTCTGATATATCACTAAGAATGCGAAAGATTTTTACTCGTATCCGAGATTGTTATCGCTAATTCATTTTCTAACAGAATAAAATGCAGTCACATTCCTGACATCGTGACCTCACGTCATTGGCTTTCCGATATGACGTCATTATTCGGCTGTACATAACGAAACCGCACGTATATTAAATGGAATAAATTGCACAAAATGTTAAGCTTCATTCACCACGTATTTGGAGTTGTACAAACACAGTGGATTTAAAATATCACATTTCCGTATATCCACCGTTCCAATCGAGGTCAAAGTTTGTACAAACGACACACATATCATCATTCAAAGCAAAATTAGATTCAGATACGAAAGAGCCAAACAATTAATTAAACTGCATGATGCAACTGTTTCTGTGAAGTACGCGCTCTTAACTAATATCCAAAGAAACACAATACACACAAGTGTTATTAGTATGACAGTTACACCAGATAAATAGATGTGATCCATAGACTAAATAATGTGTTGTTTGGGATAAGAGCGTCCATTCGATCGCCTTCTTTTATAACATGTACGAAAATCATACAAATCCGTAGATTCTTAAAATGATAATAATAATAATTTCCTTTAATGGTCAATGAAGTCAGTATCAGACATATGGACAGCTAAGGGCAGTATTTTTTTTAAATGAAAAACTCAAATGACTTATTACTTGTAAAATACACTCTGTTTTGACATCGCCATTTATCCCAATTAGATAAAATGTAACGCAAATTATGTTATCAGCTTTGAAATAGAAAAAATAGTTTGTCTTTACATAACGAACTGTCATTCATACAGCATCGTGCAAGCTATATATCTAGCGCCATTTTGTTTGCTGTTTTCGTAACACATTCTAGATTGATCACTGGTTTGGAAGAATTATCCAATATACTCCAGCTTTGCTAGGAGCATGTATACCAGACATAGGTACTTTTATGATTGTAGCTAGATTTACAAGAGAAAATTAATCAAACATAATAGAAAAGCTATCACTCTTTTAACTGGGGCATGACAAATCGTAGCACGTGCAGGGGGAGCGATTTTTCATTGAGTCGTTTTACATTGGTCAATAATATCGCTACCGGCAATTCAACAATTTCTACTACATACTGGTTATAAGACACATAAAAGTACAAAAGACACACAGGCCAATAGAACATTTAATACGAATTTATGATTAGGTGCAATAAGAATAAACCACAAATTAAATTGCATTATACTTCGGTTTCGTCCTTTTAGGACTCGTCAGTGATAATAAGGACCGAAATATGTAAACTAGGAGGCGGTTTTGGAAAGCTACAAGTGGTTGAATGAAATGACAAAATGTAAATGTATAGGCGCATTGGTCGGATAATTCAATCATTTTTGTAACTTTCATTATCCGAAGATTTCAAATGATTGTCAAGTACATGTGTGTTTGCTGAACCGCGCTACTATTGATTGATTTTAAACGTCAGATACCCACCATAACTAAAACTTCATATCGCAACATTATCAACAGTAGAAAAGGTATTTATCCCCAGCTTCTACAGAGCTATCTAAATCTGTTGTAAAGCTGATTCCTGTATATACGTTCACCATTACTTTGGAAATACCACGTACTCTATACACAAACCATTCATGAAACATTACTATTGTTACACTGAGCTATTCACAATTAAGCATCCCGTATTTCTATTTAAACGAACCAGGGTTACAATTGTATATGAGCAATTTAGCTGTCCAATAGATCTCATCATCACAGAAAGATACAACAAGGCCATGTACTTTCTGTCATTCTATTGAACGTGTTTGGAGTTCTCTGTGCGACCACTACCAAACTTACACGTATTGCTAGGTATGTCTAAGTTAGTAATATGAAATTACATCCTATGTTTTTGATAATCTGCACAATTATACGTTTGAACATTTTAAATAAAAAATGTGTGTTCTATCATCGTAAAAACATTATCCACTTAACTATCAATAGAAACGTAACTTTACGCTCCATTGTCAAACGACCAATTAAATAAAAGTCTGTTGAAAATGAGATAAGTGATACAAGTATACAGATGTATTAGGTTAAAAGTCACTTTCGATCATCCGAGTTAAAACATAAACATACAATGAGAATCATAGAAGTTACCACAACTGTTAATCAATATTCAGAATCAACATTTGAACATTTCAGACTTTTAAATGCAGCTGTTAAAATATATGTTTTCCAAAACTCCTTAACTTACTTTTGAAATATGATACTGATAGTTTTGTGTGAATTAGAAATATTCCTACAATTCAATACCAGAATAAACGAAACCTGTTTTGAAAATTAAAAATGTCATAGCTTAATTAGCTTTTGTCTCCTTTTACTCAATACATTGTATAACATTAGTTTGTTCCAGCCAGCAGCCCACATGTAGTGAGATAATTGTTATTTCCTTAAGAGTTCACATGACTGTGTTCCGAAAGCTAATGAGAACGAAACACTGAATGAAATAATTAATCTTACCTGCATGGGATGGGCGAACACGACAGTCAGGTTAAGAATCCAAGTGAAAAGCAACGATGTTTTCATGATGACCGTAGAAGATACTTTTATAAATATATTCTAAAACTTAAACAATATATCTATCAACTAACTTTAGACAATAACTTGTCTGAGCTTTTTTCTTAAAACGTCCCCGCTAAAGCAAACTGTTTCCAGCGTTGTGTAACCTAAACTGATTATCGAATGAGCGTCAATTGTCTTTAGCAATGTATCGTTCGTTAGAGTTAGTTTTCTAAAAACATTCACTTAATACAAAGAGTATTTTCCTATGAGCGATATAACCGTAATGGTATACAATGAATAGTGCTATATACTAGGCGGTTCCACTAAGGCTATCTGGCATCAAACGGCGTGGCTTGTTTGTTGGGTCTCTGCTGATGGCAGTTGGCAGTCGCCCTAGCTGGTGACAGCGATAGCCCAGAGATTTCTATTAATAAAAGACCAAATAGCAAGCAGGGGTCTTTTTAAATACGATTCTCTCGGATCTATGACATCATAAATCTAGTTATTTGATTATGTTAAGTGATGATATCGAATGGGAAGGCAGGGGTAGCGTGATATAGTTATAAGGATTAGAGTGATTGTGACATGACGACTCTTGACGAAGGAAGTTCGTCATCTTCACCCACGTTTTATTTTTGTGAAGTAAAGGACAACCTTAACGACTGGTTACGATGTTCATTGATAAAAATCCTACCGTTAAGGTTGATTAATCTACCAAATACAGCAACATATTAGAGTTCCAAAGATATACCCAATGATGATGAAATACATCCACAATTATTTTAATCTATCAAAAGCAGCAACAATCTTTGTTATATATACATATTTAAATTTGATTGGTTATTTCTTTCAGTTGTCAATTGTAAAATAAATACAGCTGGTTTCTGCGGAATGTCGGAAAAAAAGCAAGTAGTATATATCTTTGATACCATAAAAGAATTCAAAGTGATTGTAATCAAATATTATGCAACCACACCAGATTAAAAAAGGTGATTCATAGAATATATTTTTTAAAGAATATATTGCTAACACACAACAGACAAGGAATGATTTACAAACCTGCTGTTTATGGTTAGAGGCAAGTTGATGGAATTTTAATCACTGAGGTGTTCTGTCACTATGATTCGACTGACAAATTGGTTAATAAACATATATGTATTTTTTATTAATTTAAATAACGACAGTGTTATTGAACCTTGTGGTCTAGTCGATGGTGATTTTGTCTTTTGAGAAGGTGGTATTTCGTTCGTGATTGCCCACGACGTAAATGACAGCTGCTGCCGACTAAACATTATACATTTACCCTTAAATAATAAGTATTTCGTTCCTACTAGTTCCCATTGTAATTATTCTATATCTTGTTCACATCTCTGTATTTTCTTTTGATGTCTTGCAATAAATCCATGTTTATCTAATTTATCAAATCAAGACTTTACTTCATTACACCTTGAACTTTTTCGTAATATCTTCTCAAGGACTAAGTTTGGCCTCTTCGGAATATAAAACATTCATTTCTTAACAATGTAAAGCAAACGAAAATGATATAGAATAATTGTGTTTTAAAATAACCCTTTCGTCGTCATCGTGTATGTCTTCGTTTCGGAAGAAACTTAATATCTCAATGACTATACAATATAAAACTTAAATAATTCTCGAAAATACATTTAGCAAAACCTCAACAATCGTCAAAGAAATAAAATCATCGTCAAGCTCTTCTAGAAGCTAATTACGTCTAAACGCTTACTTTAAATAAAAAAAATTACAAGATCTAGGTCAGATAAAGAATAGTCACGCTTGTAACACATCTCCGACACATGTAAATGATAAATAGTAAAAGTGAATATTCTAGGACCGGAAAGTTTTCGGTAAAGATATCCTTGCAGACATTTTCACTTCCGTTTTAGTAAAATTAATATGATTTGTAATAGGAACATACGTAATTTGTAAGATTATCTCAAAACAAATAAAAAGTCTTCAGATTAAACACCAGTGGTGTTATATGATAATAAAATTTTATGAATTTGTATTAGGACTAAGAAGGACAAGATATACATATAGGTGCACAATTAACACCACAAATGACGTCATGTTTTTTTCCGCTTTGAGTGTATTGATTGATGTCTGTGTGAAACATAAGCAGAATCTTGCCATAGTGAGACGGAGCGTATAACACATTAGAGAAAACAAAACTATAATTGGACAACATGATCGATTTTAAAATTTTTATCCAGTCATTTTTTTCTATCCAATAACCAATTATATTTATATTGATTGAAATTCAATGTTTCAGTTGTTTGTTAAAGACAATAAAATGCCATCGAGGTCATTCTTAGAAAGATTTATTGATGAAACAAGAAAAAGAAATATGGCTGACCTCTCCTCAAGGAGAGGACATGCGTTATAAATACACTCATATACTCTATTATATCAGATCAAGCTCGTCATAACAGCCTAATGTGTTTATTTTTGATGTTGGTTATATTGTTTCTAATTCCACACTTGTATTGACTTGTGTGTGTTTTGAGCAATACTTGTTTTTATTTAAAGAACGCACTTACGTTCCACTACTGACCACAGCACCTGATTGGTCAATTTAAAAACGTTTTGATCACAAATGAACGATATCACTTCTACAATTTTCTCATACCTTGGGTGGCTATTTTTGTCGTTTGACCATACAGGGATGTCTCGTTTTGAAAAAGAATGCATTATCTGGTATCAAGTAATTCTGTAGAGGTGTATACATTTAAATTCTTACAAATCAATAACGTGATAGTTAATATTAAAATATTAAACCTGTTTTACTATAAGAAATTAGACCTAAGCTGATATGAAAGGATGACCTTTATTTTAAAAAAACCCACAGACACCAAACAAACAAATAAAATGTACAAACGGCGATCCAAAGAAGTAAAAAACTAAAAATAAAACCGAATTACTTGCTGTAAGATCACCAGGAAACCGCCCAAAAACTACAAGAAAATACCAACACGTCAATGTTTTCGTAATCCACACTCAAATTCCATAAAACTAGGGCAAAATATGAACAAAAGAAAGACAGACACGAAGTCCCCCGAGTATAAGGAGGATGACACAGGTCTTGAAGGGTAGGACACTTTCGTCTCTTTGATGACATCCGCCATGTAAATTGTGTTTAATCCAAATAAGTAGTATCATGTTTCCAAATCAAAGAAATGTTGTCAACAAAGGCACCACCACGCATTCTAACATCAATCACGTCCAGTTTTATTTCACAAATATAAAGCAAATTTTCAAACGAGATAGTTGATATGACAATCAAGTTTTTTCTTAAATATGTATCAACACTTATCTCTTGAAACCTTGCGTTGGATGTTAATATGTTACCACGGACATTCAATAGAAACGAAATACATATAGCTATGTAATGCAATCTAATTCATTATTTGACTTTGTGATGTCAATTTTGACATCGGTATATGTATGAGTATATAATATAAAGTCCCGTTATTTCGAAGGTGAAATACAAGTCATACCTGACAATGTAATTAATAGATATATTCGAATTTACATTTCGATGTATAAAGAATGATTGTGATCGTAGCAAGACTTTCTTTTGTTGTGTACATAATAAATGAAATGATCGCAATATTTCTCTCTTGGGTGAATGATGGCGTGCAACATAGTTCCATTTAAATTAATAATTAAAATGTTGTACCTCCGACTTGTCCACCGAAAGGTCGTAATATTGGACGTTAACCCCGATAAATGAATATTTACCTCAATCTTATTTGAGGCTCCCTAAAACGTCTAGTTTGTCTTGACAATTTATATCATGTTCGAAGTACGCATAGTCTGTTCCGCATTCGATCAGTCCCTTTGTACTTATATTTATTGCTTACTGGTCTCCTAGCAACACTTAATGTTATCAAAGACGAATCGTTGCGAGGACTAGGAAATGTTTAAGAAAACAACAACAACCAAAAAAGGCACAAAATGTTTATCCCTGCGATTGTTAATGTCATGAAAAGGATGAATAAAACGTGGCCAGCTGGTCAATGACATCGGACACTCAGGCCTAATCCAGTGAAACTACATATTGAAGGTCAGCAAAGGATATCACGTTCACAAATCGGAAATAGGTCATCCATATGGGATGTTAGCTGATCCATGTGATTTTTCACTCAACACTTTATCATCTGAGAATTAGATGAAAGTGATAAGAATAGAATTTTCAACCCGCAATTGTATGAGACCCGAAAAGCCTCCACTGGAACCGAGGATCCGTGACATATGACTGCGATCCATTAATTGTCTTTTTGACCGATATTTAGTTGATCCGTCTTACAAGGATAAAAAAGTGATTAAAATTTCAGCGTGATGGTACTATAAGACATATGGGATGTATGTAACCTTCATCCAATTTCTTTCGTAGTCCCTTTTGCTTTGACCTGCATGTTACGTTTGAATCTATTCAGAATTTACTTAACGTTCTTCTAATCTTATCTGACATCTGATAATTGCTTAATATATCAAATTTTGGGGTAAAGTACTGCCTAATCAAGACTTTGACATATTTTGCGAATGCATGGATTTTCTTGAACCGCCTCTCAGGTTTCAAAAACTGGGTCCATAACATCACTGGTGATTCATGTGAGGATGAAAAATAAGAAATTACTAACATAGCAACATAAAAATGATCCAAACTCTAATTAGATTAATTCCAGACGAAGCGTGTTTATCATGGCAACCTGATGGGATAGAAGTTTACAAGACATGTCTCCCACGAACTCAAAGACGTTAGACCATTGACCGCTACGTTGGCATTCTCCTTAATGGACAAGGAGAACGGCATAAGGAACATTATCCCTTCAAACAGGATATATTCTAATATTTTATAGGAACATTTGTCCACAAACTCACTGTACGACAACAAACAGTACCATCGTACATTATGGACTCAAAGCGTCACCTGCAAGGCTTCATACAACTGGCCTTGGCAGAGGAGCACTAAAAGGACGATTAATTTGTTAGAGACATTTGAA